TATTCTATTACACAACTGGTTACGTGAAGTAACACGTTTCAAAACTTCCGTCAGTTTTATATATAAAAATTGAAAGAAGTTATTTGGTAAAACTGTGCATATATGACAGTTTTTGATTCACTGCAATGAATTTGTTCAATAATTGTTCCGATAATCTTCTTGATGGAATCGTAAAAAAAGGTATAAAGATTGTAACACCATGCATACTATTCTTAAAATGTATGCTGTATTTACTCAAGGTGAGCCTCAGACTACTAAGGACATGAACATTGTTCGCTATAAACATTCATTCAGATACAGCTATAGTTCGTGCTATAGTTCACTATGCCTCCATATAAAGTACACATATTATATAGGCTTGATTCTCTGCAAGTTTTCAGTGGTTGTTGATGACTAGTCTTTCACATATATGGCTGATGTTCGAATCATTCCATATATCAATTTCAACTAGACTATGCATGTTTTTGAAAAATGGCCGAGAATACTGATTTTAAATGAAGTAGTACGCTCACTTAGATCATCTGTTCACATAACAATGAGTTGGAGAAATGGGGTGCATGGCTCATTGTGAAGGAAAGACGGCACCATAGTATTATAGTTACTTCATATACAGGGTGTTTCACAGAGAAAGGGAAATATTTCAATGGTACATAGGGGTCACCAAGGTGGTTCTGAAAATACCATATTTGATAGGTCTTAGAGTCTTCATAACGGAGATACAGGGCGATTTATCGATTTCGAATAATTATTCATCCGTCTATAAGTATTGAACTACCCAGTATATTTCTCTAAAATTTGGTATGGAGCTCATACTTGGGACGTTGAATTCATTCACCTATCGGGTGAAGTGAAAATCCAGGTTCGGCTTCAGGAAAAATTTACATTTATTCGATATATTAAAAAAACACACTGTATGTAATAATTGACAGAGTTCATCAGAGGAATCGTGAAGAGGAGGAAAAACTGAACTGGATTTGATGCTTTTTGTTTTCCCGCCACCAATTCTCATCGTAACAATCATAAACAGAAAGCTAAAAGTATGTCAATTTGAAGAGTATTGAAATTATGAAACCACTTTCAATTATGATTATTTGATATATTCTTATTGTTGAATGATCGTTCGAAAGAAATAACTCAGTCTCACAGTCTTTATATCAGAGATACAGGGTGGATTATCGGTTTCGAATAATTATTCACTCGTCCATGTAAGTATTAGACTACCCATCGCAGTAATATTTTCTCAAATTTGGTATTGAGCTTACTTGGGACGATGGATTCATTGACCTATCAGGCAGAATGGAAATACAGAGGTTCAGCTTCAGGAAAAGTCTCACAGTCTTTATAACAGAGATACAGGGTGAATTATCGAATTATAATTATTTGGTATTGTTTCCATTCCGCCTGATAGGTTGATGAATCCATCGTCCCAAGTAAGCTACATACCTACCAAATTTGAGAAAATGTTACTGGGTAGTTTGAGACATATGGAGAGTGTGAGACTTAGTGAGTTCTTTCGAGCGATTTTTCGACTGAAATATCAAATAATCATAATTGACACTGGTTTCATAATTCCAATACTCTTCAAATTGACATACTTTCAACTTTCTGTTTATGATTGTTACGATGAGAATTGGTGGCGGAAAAACAAAAAGCATCATACACAATCCAGTTTCTCCTCCTCTTCACAATTCTTTTGATGTACTGTGTTAATTATTTATTACAGTGTGTTATTTTAATATTTCGAATAAATGTGAATTTTTCCTGAAGCCGAACCTGGATTTCCACTCCGCCCAATAGGTGAATAAATTTAACGTCCCAAGTATAAGCTCCTTACCAAATTTGAGAAAAATATACTGGGTAGGTCAATACATATAGACGAATGAATAATTATTCGAAATCGATAAATCGCCCTGTATCTCCGTTATATGAAGACTCTAAGACCTATCAAATATGGTATTTTCAGAACCACCTTGGTGACCCCTATCTACCATTGAAATATTTCCCTTTACCTATGAAACACCCTGTATAACGTTGTTATGCATAAGCAGCCTGAATATCTTGTTGAAGAGTTTTTTTTTATCGCTTGGAGCGCACGAAAGGGAATCCCTCTAATTATCGAAGAACATCGTGCGTTCCTAGGGAGGATAGGGACAGGAGGTAGGTATTGGAATTTTTCTTGAACTTCTGGAGATTATATGTTGTTGGGAATGCTTCCTCAGGCAATGAATTCCAGAGCCTAGCCGTTCTATGAATGAAGGAGTTTTGATAAAGTGCTGTTCGACATCTTTCGAGGTTGACAACGAAAGAATGTGCTGACTAGGCTTGTCTAGTTCGTCTGACTGGTATTGCTATGGAAGGAATGATAGCAGAGATTTCCGAAGAACATTTCCCGTGGAGGTATCGATAGAAAAGTGAAAGGTCGCCGACCTTTCTTCAATGTTCCAATGATGTCAAAGAGTGAGTGAGTGTGGCGTTACCCCCACCAGGCGAATGGCTCTTCTCTGGATGGAATCTAAGAGCATCAGCGTATGTTCTGGTGCTGAACCCCATATGTGGGGCCAGGTCGTGGGTTCGATTCCCATCGACTGCAGAAATTTTTCTGATGGCCCAAGAAAGTGTTTTGGGATCACATGTTAAAAGGTAAGGCCCCCGTCATTCCTTACTCGCACAAGACTCTGGAAGACTTCTGAAGATTGCTCGTGAGGGGGCAACCGAATGACGAATAAAATAATTTTAGAACAACAACAATTTCAGTATTCTAGAACATGCCGTATCTGCGCTTTGTAGATCATGAAAAGCTGTTGAGGTGTAAAGTAGCTTTTCGCACGGAACAAGAATCCGAGTATTTGTGAAGCAGCTTCTGCGATGGATCTGACATGATTATCCCATGAAAGAGTGTTGCTGATGGAAATACCGAGAATAGATATGGTGGGCTTGGTGGGGATGGAGGTGCCAGACATTACAATATCGGGCATACTGAGTTCCGCCTTTATAGAGAAGATACTGGCTGAGTTTTGGTGGCGTTGAATCCAACTAGGTTGTTGGTTCCCCAGGCTGTGATTTCAGCAAGGTCTTCATTGACAGCATTGACCTGCCTGCGCCGTGAGTTCTCAGTTTCCTAGGAAGAAATGGGAATTCTGGAAGAGATCGCAGTATGGAGGGTACTATCATCTGCAAATCTGTGGATGGGGCGCGTTGTTACTCCCAACAGATTATTGATATGAAGAAGGAATAATGTTGGTGTCAAAATTGATCCTTGTGGAACGCCATAAATGGGTGACGTAGGCAAGTAGATCTCCAGTAGATTTCCGGTGGCGAAAGCCGTATTGTCTATTCCTGATTCCTGAGCTCTCCAGATAACTTTGAAGATTACCGATAACAGGACAATGGGCCTGTAGTTGTTGGGCAGGTTCTTGTTCCCTTTTTTGTGGACTGGTTGGACTCTAGCTGTCTTTCAGCATGATGGAAAAACGCCCGACCTGTACGAGACGGTAAACAACTTGCAGATAATCGGAATTAATTCTGGTGCACATTTTTTGAGGATAATGGGTGGAATTCTATCAGGGCCGTTAGCCTTATTCGTTTTGAGACCAAGCAAAATTCGTCTGATTCGTTGACGAAAGACGATATCGATCATTCAACTTTCAATGGGTGGAATGTCTGGCGGCACTTTTCCTTGGGAATCTGAAGTGGAGTTTGCTGCGAACATCTCTGCAAAAATATTTGCATTCTCCTGCGATGTTGTTGCTAATGTGCCGTCGGATTTGGACAGTGGTGGAAATGAACTATTAGTGAAATTTCTTTCCTCCGCTTTAGCAAGGAACCAAAACGAACGGGAGCCATTGGGACAATCTATGGGTTTCGATCATTGTATGTTTATTTCGAATCATCTATTGTTTGGCTGCAGTTATTCCTGGCATCAACGTATTCTGCTCTAGTCGCGAGGTTAGGGTTTTTGCGCCAGCGATGGTAGGCAGTTTGTTTCAAGGCAACAGTTTAGAACAGTTTTTGTTGAACCAGGGTTTCGATGGTGATGATCTTTCCGAAGAATGAGGTATGTATGTGTCTATTCCGAGCATGATGATCTCGGATATTTCCGCAGCACACTCTGAAGGGTCCCTAGAGTTAAAGCATACTCTATGCGAAGGAAACTCGGGAGAAAAACATGCGGAGACCGTCCCAATCTCCTATATTGTAGTGCCATATGAGACGTGGAGGTGCCGGAGCAGTTGATGGAATGAAGAATGGGCAGGTTGTGGAGATTAGTGTGTGGTCAGTATTGCCAAGTGGAGCTCGTTCATCTATGGTGTAGGGTGCTGAATTATAAGTAAGGAATAAATCAAGTATGTTAGCTGAATGGTTATTGGTATCGGATATTCATGTGGGTTCTGCTTTAAGCCGTGAGTAATAGCGAGAGCTTCGGCTTGTCGCCCAGCTCCATCCGTTCTGTTAGAGTGTACGAGCCAAGCAATGTCATTGTGTACATTGAAATCGCCCATGATGATGATTTCTGCTGCTGGATGGTTCTGTTGAATTTGGTCAAGCTTCAGAGACAAGAATGCGAAGAGCTCTTCATAGGATGTATCGTTTGGTGATGAGTAGAGACAACAAAGGTATTTGGTCTGTTTCTGGCTATCGAGTTTAATTTGGTCTCTTTCTGGCTATCGAGTTCGATGAAAAAACAGTAGGTACACCAGATCATGTAACTATATGGAGCTTTCCCCAAACAGCTACCAAAATCTACAATGATTCACCAAGTTTTGACAAAGTAAACAGACTTTCTGTTTGCATTTGAGTAGAACTATCTAAACAATGGATCCATTACGTTACCATTCTGAATCAACTCATCCTGATGTGTACCTCGTTTACCATCTCGTTTCTTCTGCCTGTTGAATTTTTCTATATCTAATGTCTCTTCTGTCTGCTCTATTTTTTCATCCTGATTCGTCATTCTGTCTGTTTTTTCATTATGTACATATATATGAGTATATTTCAGTGAGTCACTGTACTTTGGGGCCTGCGAATTTTTCAAGTGATTTTAAAAGAATCATGATATTGATGATTCCATAGATTAGGTGGTAGAGCCCTCTCTATAGGGAGAGTACCTGAGTCTTGCCTGGCAAATTCTTTGTGCAGTTCTTTTCTACAGATGAGCTCCTCACTCGATATGAATGACACTTTCTCACCATGAGATAATTATTTATTTTCATTGGTACCCTATTCTGTTAATCCACAGAACGCACCAGCGTGTTCAATTCTAACATTGAAAAACGCGCGTCTCTTGATATACTTTTACTTTAATATACTATTTCCTCCATGAAACTCGTTCAAGTATAAACTTGCTAGAAGTCCCAGATTGCTGAAATAATAGAAGTTCACGGAGTGAAGGAAGTCATCTCCATAATATTCAATATTGAATATACATACGTATACTACGGTACATGTTTCAGACCCTTATATAGAGTCCATCATGAGTCGAAAGTTATATTGAAATTTTATGAGACGAAATACTGCTACATGAAACAACAACGAACATGGTAATTAGATAGGTAGGTACTCACATGGATTGAACATTTTCATCAAAAACGGCAAAAGTGAAAAATATGTTGATAATTCGATTATCAACAGTCATTTGAGACACTAATAATTATAATATTGTTCCAGTGTGTTATTCTTCATTGGTTTAGACTTCAAACTCGCATGAGACGAATGAACTGGCAACATCGAATTAACGATTCTCGAATGTGTTCTGTGCCAATGTGCTCTGGTTCCTTTGTTGTTATGGAGGTTAATTATGTTGAATCTTCATCATTGTTAGAATAATAGCATATAGAGAGGAGAAATTGAAGGTTATCAGAAATAGTTATACTGATTTATTACCATCATCACCAAAAGTCGTACATGTCTTACCTCTTCTTCAAGAGATAATGCAGAATACTGAAGTCCCTGTACCATGTGAATGGTTCTAACAGTGCAATGAGCACTCGCACATTCCTAACTCAATATTTCTATCAATATTCTGTTCGATAAAAATCGGAACGCATTCTTATATATTCCTTGCCTCTCTTCTGATGATTTTTTTGATTTTCCAAATTTTCAATTCCTATATATAAATGAAGCTGACATTTTCAAAATAACGAAAGTGATGAAGCAAATCCGTCAAATATTCAATCTTGCATTCGACATAGAATTGTTGACTGCTAAAGACCACTATACAATTATCAATCGAAAATCTTCGAATGCGTCATTCGAGAATGAGCACTAACGTTTTTTGTTCGATAATGTAGAAATCTCGCATGCGACATAATATCCCACCGTTTGAGAAAAGGGTCCCTGGTCGTGCCTGATCATGCTGATGTATTTCCTGACACTCAAGTGCGTTGGGAAAATAGCATACGTTTGCATTTGTTCTGTCATCAAATTTCAATCGTGTATATTGTAGGATGGTTGTGTGAAAAAATACTTACAATGGACATTCAATCTCCACTTGTCCTCGAGGGCGTTTTCAGGGATGGAGGGGTTCTCAGCTCGGCAAGTCAAGTATTTGCCGTCATCTTCGATCACCGGCACAAACGTCAGAATGCTCAAGCTTTGATTGTTGTGATTGTTGTGCTCCAAAAACTGGAATGAAACCAAAAGTTAACAGATTGTTTTCAATGAAGGGTCCAGAAATAGTAGAGCTTCCTTTTATAAATATCATGACTTTATTCCACATGAACAAACTAGATATGGGTCTTCAGATATGCTCCTGATGGCTCTACCTCATAGAAATAATTCAAAAAATATACTCATTCAATATTCCGAAGTCATAGTAGGTAGAACAGTTGGGTTTTAAGAAACGATTCGGTTGAGGAGTCACATTACATTGTGCTCCACTTCTGACAGATTGTTTGTTGTTGTTCTGGAAGTTCATCTCCTCCATCATTTGGTTGCCCCCTTACGAGCAACCCTCAAAAGTCTTCAAGAGACTTGTGCGAGCAAGGTATGACGGGAGTCTTATCTTTTAACGTGTGATCCCAAACACTTTCTTAGGCCATCAGAATAATTTCTGCGGTCATATGAGATTATTTCTTGAAAAGTGTTACACTTTGTATAAAATATATGTAAGTAGTAGAATATGTACAAAATCACATTTCCGACCACCCCCTTCCAGATACGTGAACCAAACACTATGTATACCTGAAACTTCAATACCCTCAATCCAGTTGAGAATAACAAGATATGTATAATACGCTTCATGGAATATACAGGGTATGTCACAACGAGCTTACACTATCTCTATATCGAGAATCAGTCTGGAGAAATACATGGAAAGATGCATGCTAATATTTTACAATACACTCTCCTCATTTAAAATAATGTCAGCAATGGAGCCTTGCCAATTCCATAAAAAAGTAGCAATAACTTTGTTATTCCAAATAGAATACACTGTATTTCATTGCATTTTGAAATCCTCCCTGAAGGGCTGAAATCAGCAATATATCAAACTTGAGGTCAATGGGAAATAATCACAGAGATAAAAGGTGTTAAAAATCAGAATTATGAATCTTGAACCAACCTGTTTCTGTTCCGATCAAATATCAGTAAATAGTGGATCGAAAGTTGGGATAAGGACATATATTATGTGAGCCGTTTCGACCGATAATGAATAGTTTCGATACAAAAAAATCCTATCAATGTTGCTAATAGTTTCTATTAGAAGCGGCAACACTGCATTGTCGAAAATTATCCATTTCTTGTTTATCTTATTGATTTAGAAAGCAAGGTTATCCAGCAGATAAGAACTATTCATAAATAGTCCTTCCAATAACAGGATATCACAGTGTTACGAAATTGTTATATTCACTTGGGTTGCATCAACTTACTATCATTTGAGAACTAAGTTCCTATACCTTTTCCATAACTTTCACTCAAACGTTGATAATCAGAAGAAAACAACAATAACGTCGGTATATACACTATCAACATATATGAATATATGTATAGGTAGTATTTTGACATAGACTGGAAAAGTACAATCTATATATATATAACGGAAGAATCATAAATACCAGTACTATTTTTATATTTCCATATTCTAGGAATACTATAGAAGTTCAACAAGAATTCTCTTAGTTGTTTCTTATATCTTCTGAGATCAAGATGAAATATATCAATATTAGAGTGGCAAATTGTATTGTACGAGTTCATACAACTTATTATAGGTGAATTATACTATAATAATTAGTTGAGGAAGAAGGTGGGTATAGAAAGTGAGTCTATTCCTTACCATTCTAGGACTACAATTCAAGCTCAGGAATCCAGTGCATGCTATATATTCAATATGATTGTTGAAGATCTTGTAAATGGATAATATGTCAACGAAGTCTCTCCTAATGAGAAGATTCTCTTTTCTATAGAATCTCAAGTTGCTCTCATAGCTCATATAGTGACGGAAGCGAAAGAATCTATAGTTTGAATTGCTGACCAATTTTTTTGAACATGTTCATTTCGATCCACATATTTGTCATACACCCAAATGGTGGAGCAGGATTCAAGGATAGGCCTGACCCTGACTAAGGATTTATATAAAGTGGTAACTGATAAATAATTTTTAATTCTTGAATATGAGCATGTACATTTCCATGGATTTCTCCAGACTGATTCCCGATATAAAGATAGTGTAGGCTCGTCGTGACATACCCTGTATAGATACATATTCACTCGGATTGAATCAATATCCTTTTTCTGAATGATTCATTCATGTTTGATTGAATACATATGCTGAGTTCATTGAAACACCTGTTCGATTTGAATTTTCAATGTGCGCTGAAGTACGATTTCATTAAATTCATCTCAATGGTATATATTTAGTGTCTACATGATTATTGATCTATAAACACTTCGTACGTCATGATTTATTATAAATATAATAGTAAATGGATTTTAATTCATGGATTGCTTGACTATCAGACAAAACCGTTAGAATAACTGTGAGTGTATAATCTCTGGAATAACTTTACAATCTTCACTGTGCAGATTATTTGGAAATAACCATTCTATCAGAGAGGATTACATTAAATTTCGGTCTGTTATTCGTAATTATTGTGTTCTTTTATTGTTCTCGATTCAGATTCTCAGAAAGAGCGCGGTTTGAAAGAGAAACCGAGAGGCAATTTCACCACCGATTTCGCCAACTAATTTCAACGATTTGCTATGAAAAGTGGTCTATATATTTCCACACTAATACAATATAACGAGAACAGTATTTCAGGGCTCATTAGGTCTAGAAAAATTCCATCTGTGTCTAAAATCGTTTGTTACTCACACTTTTCTGACGGCGTCTTTTCGCTCGACTTGGGAAATTCTTTACAAATTCCTTGCCTTTATTCAATATTGAATGGGTCGTTTCTGACAAAGGAAGAGAGCGCAGCCTGGTGATTAGAGTGATTTCTTATCCAAATACTCAAAAAAGGTGGAATCCACTTCTTCAGCATCCGCAAGAATGGCCATTTCTGTTCTCAGGAATATTACAGGATTGATCACAGACATTGATGATCGCATTCTTTTGTATCATTTCGAATTGTTAGAGTTTTCAGTAACATCACAACTCAGATGACATTACTTGCGATTATTATAAAAAATACACGGTGTTCAGAGATACTCTTCAGATATTTTTGTGACTGATAACAAATCTACCATGCATTTTCTTTCTATTGAGCCGTTTCTTGAAGTAAATAACGAAGGATAGAGATATGCCTTTTTGGAAATGTATCCTCAATGTCATCAGTGCTCATGTTATATGTTTACTGATTCAGTGGCGATGAGTTCTGATTTGTAACCCTAATAGCACACAACGTCCTAGGGACGTCCCTATTTGGTACAATTCACGTCCGAATGTCCCGAACCAAAAATGAGTGTCCTTATGCATCTCATGCAACGTCCGAGTAAGGACGTCCACGGAATGTCCCAGCTGGTACATCATTTCAAATGTCCTAGAAATAGCATCCCTTAGACGTCCCACGTGTCTATGCAAGGACGTCCTTGGCATGTCCCTGATGGGATATGATTTCAAACGTTCCATTAGGGACTTCCATCGGATGTCCCGAGAAGTACATGTTCTGGCATGACTTCAGTTCTTATATAATGTCTCTTCTAGACAATTATGAAATGTTCCTGATGATACATCCCTTCAAATATCTCTGCACAGACGCCCTCAATATTTCGCTTCACGTGGTGGTGGACGGTGTATCGTCTGATACCTTTGGCATCAATTCCGGCGTTCCACAAGGATCAATTTTGGCACCAACATTATTCCTGCTTCATATCAATGATCTGTTGGGAGTAACAACTTGCCCCATCCACAGCTTTGCAGATGATAGTACCCTCCATACTGCGTTCTCTTCCAGAATTCCCATTTCTTCCCAGGAAACTAAGAACTCACGGCGCAGGCAGGTCAATGCTGTCAATGAAGATCTTGCTGAAATCACAGCCTGGGGAACAAACAACCTAGTGGAATTCAACGCCACCAAAACTCAAGCCTGCATTTTCTCTAGAAAGGCGGAACTCAGTGTGCCCGATATTGTGATGTCTGGCTCCACCATCCCCATCAAGCCCACCATATCTATGCTCGGTATTTCCATCAGCAACACTCTTTCATGGGATAATCATGTCAGATCCATCGCAAAAGCTGCTTCACAAAAACTTGGATTCTTGTTCCGTGCGAAAAGCTACTTTACACCTCAACAGCTTCTCATGATATACAAAGCGCAGATACGGCCTGTTCTAGAATACTGTTCCCACATATGGGGTTCAGCACCAAAACATACGCTGATGCTCTTAGATTCCATCCAGAGAAGAGCCATTCGCCTGGTGGGTGACGCCACACTCACTCACTTTTTGACATCATTGGCACACCGTAGAAAGGTCGGCGATCTTTCACTTTTCTATCGATACTTCCACGGGAAATGTTTTTCGGAAATCTCTGCTATCATCCCTTCACTAGCAATACCAATCAGACGAACTAGACAAGCCCAGTCAGCACATCCTTTCGTTGTCAACCTCGAAAGATGTCGAACAGCACTTTATCAAGACTCCTTCATCCATAGAACGGCTAGGCTCTGGAATTCATTGCCTGTGGAAGTATTCCAGTAACATATAATCTCCAAAAGTTCAAAAAAAATTCCAATACCTACCTCCTGTCCCTATCCTCCCAAGGAACGCGCGATGTTCTTTGAACATTATAGGGATTCCCTTTCGTGCGCTCCAAGCGATAAAAAAAAAAAAAAGGGAGTAGGGTAAGGCAAACTATAAAACGACGCAGAAGAATGTGATTTTGTTGTGGTCGAAAAAAGATAGTTAACTTAGTTTTCCCACTAATTCTAAAACAGAAAATGAACAATAAATTAGAAAATGAACATGATACAAACAATAGGGCAATAAAATAGATTATTGTAATCTGGTGGGTACTTTTGTAGATATCTATACAGGTCGTTTCGGAAAAACCTGACCAACTTGCTATGGGAGATAGAACACTGCAGAACACGGCATCTGTTTTCAAGATACAAGATGTAGAGGAAATGTTTTTTTTACTCATTTTTCACGATTATGCCACAACTACTGGCAACATTGTGATGAAATTC